TCACATTTAAAATTGTCAAATTTTTTAATTAAAAGTCTTTAAAATATCTTTAAAATGTTTTCAACCCCCCCCCCCAATAAAAATTGCCTGAGATACATTGAATTTTGCTTTGGAAGAACACAGTGTGTTCTTGCAACATTCTGCAGCAGTTCATGCTTTGCCTTCTTGTCCTGCATGTACCTTGACTGTGGTTTCCTGCACTCCTGCATGTTAGCAGAAAAGACTTGTCAGCTGTGGTTAATGCATGATTTTTTTCCAGTTGCCCCCCCCCCCCCAATAAAAATTGCCTGAGATACATTGAATTTTGCTTTGGAAGAACACAGTGTGTTCTTGCAACATTCTGCAGCAGTTCATGCTTTGCCTTCTTGTCCTGCATGTACCTTGACTGTGGTTTCCTGCACTCCTGCATGTTAGCAGAAAAGACTTGTCAGCTGTGGTTAATGCATGATTTTTTTCCAGTTGCCTATCCTTTGTTGGTCATTAAAAAATAAATTACATGGACATTCAAAACCTACTTCTGTAGTACTTTCATTGTAGCCCTGGCTTACTTCCACTTTGGAAAGAATTGGGAACTCACTTTTACAGTATTCCAGGATGGCTATCATGTTATTGTGTCTGGTATTTGCAGGGTCAGAAGGTGCTCTGATTTCTCAGTAAGCTCTTTCACTGTCTTCCTTAAACATTGAAGTGTGACTAGACTTCCTATGGAAGTGGGTTTAGTTGTAGAATAGTGTAGGATCCATAGTAGGTTTGAAAAATGTTTCATTGTATGCTTATTGTATAGGGGTATTTGGAATGTATTGTGTTTTGGGAAGAATAATTAACATTTCTTTAAAGCAGGAAGGAGGTAGAAAGCAATGAGTTTTTGTGTCTATCAGCATATAACCTAGTCTGCTTTGTTGAGAGTTGGAAGCCATTAGTAGTTACTCGTTCTGAAATTCTGGCTTTGTGAGATATATTACAACTCACCTGAGCTTAATCAATACCAGCATTTTAGATTTTCAAAATATTGCAAGGCAAAGTTTGTTTCTCAAATCCAGTTTTAAAGTCCTTTCATCAAGCCCTTATATTCAAGTTGATGTCTCATCTTATGGGAAGATCCAGGTGCCCCAGTTGCTACATTTGACTGAGGGGTTTAGGTTAAAATATTGCAAAAGTTTATTTCTAGGTGTGAAACTATTTGGTTCTCTGACATATTAAGAATAAGTTTAAATGAAGGAACTGTGAAATCAAATATCTCCTCGTTTAGTTATCCAAATTCTGAAAGAATGTCAAACTATCTTCAGGTTCCACCAAGCCTAATTTAAGAGGTTTCTGTGATGTGAACTTAGAAGGCTGAGGTACAATTTTACCTGCAGAATAATATTGAAAAGGTGCTGGTGACTTCTAAGCATTAACCAGTCATTCCTTTTCTATTTTTTTTCCTTTCTCAAATTTAAATCTTCAGCACAAACTAAGTGGTGAACAGTCTTTCAGGAGTCTCTTACCCATTGTCATTTTACTTTGCTTTTTAAGTTAAGAAACTAATAGCAATAGTTAAATATTTCTGTATGCTTGACACTAGAATTTATAGTAAAAATATAGCTAAATAAAACAAAGATAATGTTTTTCTTTAGATATCTTACGTTTGAACATATTCATGTCTAAGATTCATACTGTTGATGTTTGCAGCAAATGTCAGTGAAGTTAGACCAATAATCTTGAAAAATGATTTCAGCTGATTTAGTGTTTCTTTGAAATCTATACCTTATTTGAGCATCAGTTTTAGATTTTTTTTTTTTTCTGGTCTTTTTGAGACAGGGTCTCCCTATAGCCCCAGCTGTCCTGGAACTCACTATGTAGACCAGGCTGGCCTTGAACTCACAGAGATCCGCCTGCCGAGTGCTGGGATTAAAGGCATGCACCACCATGCCCAACCCAGTTTTAGATTTTTTTCAAAAAATTATTTATTTAATAACCACATAATTAGAAGAAGCATTTCATTACAACAGCATTGACATATTCAATGACAATTTCCAGAGCTAAGATGCATCTCTTTCAAAATTGGCTGTAAATTTTTAGGTTTACAGTTTATAAGATGAATAAATTGGATAGATTTGTGTTTTGTGTTGAAGATTTTTGATTGTCAGAAGAATCCTTTTTTTAATGTTTTTGAGCACCAAGTTGTGTTTTGAGAATTCAGTCTTTTTTTTCCCCACTGTACTTAATTCAATATACCATTAAGAAAATACTTTAGAATTGTGCTCAGGTATGCTGTCCTTGTGTCTAACTCATTGTCTGAAGCCAAGCTATGGCTAGTGAAAGCCATTTCTACTGATACCTTAAGTTGAAGTTCACACACTTCTTAAACAGCTTTAGTTGGAGGTTGTATAATATTATAATGTGTTAGTGAACTGCATCTATGGACATGCATCATGACGGGATTGAAAACCCTTCTTGAGTCTATGCTTTAGAAGTCCAGGACTTCTATAAGGATAGAAGGAAATAATCTAGGAAAATAGCAGTAGGATTTTCACAGGGTGGTATTGTGCTAATAATGTGTGTATGTATCTGCACATGCATATATACAGCTTACATGTGTGCACACATATATACCCACAGATAAACATAAACACACACAAGTTACCCAGCTGTTGGGACTAGCTAAGATGATTAATTCTGCAGGGCCTGAATTTGTCTCATGTTTGAATTTTCTATATCCTGTTGAATCAGGTAGTTTTCTTTGTAGTTAACTGAAAACAGCCCTAGTTTGATACTTATACAAGTAGTGGGTTTCATTTCAAAAGTACATTGTTTAAATATGTGATTCAGCCAGTAAATTTTTTTTTTTTTTAAGAAACAAAACCCCTGCTCTTTTATATTATGGTTAAGAAGTCTTTAAAAATAAGATTTGCCAAAGAATTGTTTTTCCATTCTTAAAAATGTCCTAGTGAGCCAGGCATAGTGGCACATGCCTGCAATCCCAGCATTCAGGAAGAGGAAGCAGGAGGATTGTGAGTTCGAATCCAGCCGGGCTACGTAGTGAGACCCTGACTCAAAAAACAAAAAAGAAAAAGAGTCCTAGTGAGTACACAATGGCATTATCTAATTGTTGGTAGATAAGCTAAGAACTTTAGAGCAACAGAAATGCAATTGAAATTACACAGTGCAGAAGGAGTGACCGTCTTGTTTCTTTGAATTTGTTATCCATAAGGACACTGGTGGGGAGAGTAGGGAAATGTTAATTTTTTTTTTCAAAATTCTGAGCTTAGGCTCATTTAAGCAGTGCCAGTATGCTCACCCAGAACTCACTAGCAACAAGAAAATTGATTTTAGTGACTGAACATTTCTTTGGCTTTGTTGACCAGCTTAGAAGTATCCTTTGGCTTAGAACAGTGATGCGTCTTTAACCTGCTCTGCTCCAGCTGCTCATAGTTCCTGTCACTTGATGTAAAACACTTGAGCTCAGTGATAGTATTTCTTGAGATACTTGTTTTCTGTTGTTTTCATTATAGCTTTTGAGGAACTTGAAAGAGCTTTGAGTACAGCCCAAAAAACAGAAGAAGCACAGAGAAGAATGAAGGCAGAAATGGATGAGCAAATAAAAGCCATCGAAAGAACAAGTGAGGAGGAACGTCTCAGTCTTCAGCACGAACTAAGTCGTGTGAAACAGGAGGCTGTTGACATAATGAAAGTAAGAATGATTTGTGATTGGAAAGGGCTTCAGTCTCATATTTATTCCTATAATCTCTCACTGTAAGAAAGAGTTAGTTTGTATTTTTAAACTTTGAGCATTTCATGATGTTGAGGATACAGTAAAAAAAGCACTTTGATAGAGAAAGTCACTTAGATGATTCTCTGGATATTCCTTACCTGGCTCCTGACCTTAGGCTCCTTGGAGGTAGGCTGCTCGGCTACTTCAGGGTACAGAACTCAGCTGAGAAGGCCTAACGTGTGTGTGTGTGTGTGTGTGTGTGTGTGTGTGTGTGTGTGCACGCGCGCGCATGCATGTGTGCACACGTGCATATATATGGAGGTCGAGGGACAACTTGGGGGTTGCTTCTCTCCTTCCACCATGTGGGTCCCAAGGATTACAGACATAGAGGGTGGCATATTAAATAATTTTCATATATTTTCTTTCTTCTGTTGGACTATAAATATCTTGCAAAGTAGTATTTAATTATGATCAATTACTGGGTATACATGGCCTTGGCTAAAATTGCCTGGCTGTATTTAAATTTTTTAATAGTAAAAAAGTAGAAAAGGGAAGACTTATTGAATATGGCCATTGGGAAAAGGGACAAAGAAATCCAGTGACATCCCCCCACCCCCACCCCGCTGCCAAATCCATCTTCCGGTGCTGGAATGAGATTTAGCTTTAAGTAAAGAGCTAGAGTTACTTACAGCTAAGCAGTCCTGGTCAAAGTGTAGTCTTACCCATTTTAAAGTTTTAAGTGGTCACATGGTATGATAAGTATCAACGTTACTATGGAATCTAACAACTTAGAAATAATGCATGAATCAATTATTTTGATGATAATGATGTGAATATATAACAAAAATATAAAGATATGTCTAGGAAGATGGCTCAGTCACTAAAGTGTTTGTTGTGCAAACATGAGGACTTTTGTTCAGAGCCCTCGCACCCATGTAAAAAGCCAGGTACAGCTGTATGTGTCTGTAATCCCATTGCTCAGACAGGGAGAGACAAGAGGGTCCCTGAGGCTTCCTGACCAACCAGTCTAGCTGAATCAACAAGCTGTAGTTTCAGCAAGAGACCTGTGCCAAAAAATAAAATGAAGAGGAATCGAGGAAGACACCCAGCCTGAACCTCCACATGCACATGAACACATGGGTTACACGCACCCATATACACACACAAATGAAAAGATAAAGTATACCTGGAGGCCTAGAGACGTAGCTCAGTTGATAGAGTGCTTGCTTAGCATGTCCAGCTTCTGGGTTTGATCTTCAGCATTTCATAAAACTGGGCATGGTGACCCATACCTATGCCTATTGTCTCAGTACCCTAGGAGTTAAAGGAGTTCAAGGCCAGCCTGGCATACATGAGACCTTATCTTAAAAAAAAAAAGTTTGCAGTGAAAAGATTTCCTTCCATTGTGACCTTTCAGTTTTTCCAAAAAGACAGCCAATTTTCTTTTTATGTCGACTCACCAGAGATGGTCTCTGCATAGTTTTCTGTTTTGTTTATAATGCTCTTTAATGTTGTTAATACAAAAGGCAGCATGTTGTATGTTTTGTTGTATATTCTGTTGGGTATTTTGCTTTTTCACTTAGTAGTCTCTCTAGATGGTTTCTTATCCTTTGCCAGCTGTTAATGATGCCTGTTCATTTTAAAGGCTGCTCAGGATTTCATTTTACACATTTCTCTTAATTTAATCAGTCTCTGATTGATAGGCATTTAGATTTTCAGTGTTTGCCATTGCAAATTTAAACTAGCATTGTACATACTTCCTTACTTGTACATCTTTCTCTAGACTCTTCAAAGTAGAATTCTGCTCAGCAAAAATTATTTGTATTTTTAATTACTGGCCTGTTTGCTACAAGCTCTATGGAGGACATCTTCTTTCTTTGTTAGCTTATAAGGAAGAACGGGGTATCATTGTAGTCCTGAGGTTCTTGCCAGGATGATAAACATTTGTATTTAAAAGGAAATTGTAATTTATCTGTTTTGAGTAGCCTGACAAAATCCTTGACTCATATTTGGTTGGTCCTTTTTATTATTGATTTATAGAAGCTCTTTATTGATAGTGGAAATTAACCTTTTGGATATAAGTCACTTTTTTTCCAAATAATCTTTCTCTTTTTATCCCAGTTTTTTTTTTTTAATTTTTTTTTTAGCAGAGCATAGGATAGTGGTTTATTTACGGAAGAGTGGATGTCCCACATTTACAGCTGTGCTGTAAAGTTCACACTCAAATACAGATCCTGTGACCTCCTGACAGCCACACAAAATTGTGAGAGAGGTGTCTCTTGGTGTTCTCAGCTTATATATCCTTTCCCCCCCCAACATGCAGCTAAGGTCAGCTGATCAGAGTGGGAAGGAGGTGTGACTATAACTTGCTGGCATAGTGGTCAGAGGACATTTCCAGTTAATGCTCCACCCCTTCCTCTGGCTCTTACATTCTTTCTGCCAACCTCTTCCACAAAAGTCCCTGAGCCTTGGGGTGGGGGGTAGGTGTGGGATGATCCTCCTGTTATCACAAGGCACTGAACTTTCAGGTCTCTGCATCATCTGTTTTCCATGGCCTGTTTGTCAGTTTGAGTGGGAGTCCATCTACTATAAAAACACACACAGCAAGAAGCAAGAACAGCTAAACAGTGACTGCTATTATAACTTAACCTATGCATGTTAACATAAATGCTTGGTCAGTACTTTATCAGGTGCATCACATCCAACTAACAAAACAATTGCAGTGACCAATTGAAAATTTGCTGGTTGTACATACACTAGACTCTCCACTATTGCACCATCAAGAACATCTTGTTTGCTATATTGATAGTGAAACACACAGGGTCCATCTTGAGGAGAATTGTACAGCACTATTCTCCCCGTCATCTGCATACTGCCTTTTGGCGCCATGAAAGCCACCCATTCAGTGGCAGGGAGTTTCCAGCTTAGGCCAAGCTTGATTTCTCCCTCTCCTGTGC